GCTACCCTATGTCCGCTACAGAGATAGGCCGGCAACTACACTGTCACTCATCTCTACAACCTACAACAAGGTACATAACCCAGCGTTGTTCACGCCTTCGATGGGTAGCCACGCTGCTACCATATGTCTGCTACAGAAATAGGCCGGCCTCCACGCTGCCACACATCTCTACGACTAATAACAAGGTACACAACCGCGCGTTGTTTACACCTTAGATGGGCAGTCATACTACTACGCCCTCATTTATTCGAGATAGGCTGGCTCACCACGCCGCCAGTACGCATCTCTAACTATGATGACGTCACCCGAACGTGGTCTTACACCGCATATGCTGGGTATTTGGCTATATTGCCTTTCTATGAGATACGCCGACTACTCAGATGGCTTACATCTCTATGGCCGGTGTGCGCTAATTACCGACATTTAGTCTGACTATCACATGTCGTCCTGGGTAGGATGATCCCGGAAGTAAGGTACCTGATTCGTTCGCTATAGGGCGGGATCCTAACAGTGAACAATCGTTACAAAGGCCCCTTGAACAAGTGCTATCACGCACTTAACGTCGACGGAAGGGTCTAACATGATTTTCATCATAATGACTACGTTGACTACTTTACTCGGCTAATCCGTCTTACGCGCCTTTTTAAAGGACTATACAAGACAATACAAGCCCAATACATGTAGACTACAATCTTACCCATAGATTAACAGTCTAAAACAACTTTTTTATAAACAAAAAGATATATTACAGGCCAACCCCTTGATGTACTCGGCTTACTAATAGACTACCAGAATTCATTGACGATTCAACACAGTCTTACATTGTCTACAGGTCAACGACAGGTTTAACTGATAAGCAAAGGTGGAAGCTATCTCTTCAATGTCCCTCTCGGCGTGGATGCCAACAGAGAAGCGGTCATCAAGTTCCTTGACCTACAGTGCTGATACACGCACTCGAACAGACTCATCTTTCACGACTCTGAAGTCGGTCGAGACGTCTGATCAACTACATCCATCCCTCAAAGTGTTCAATAACACACTTACAATCGACTCATCCTAAGTAATTCAGGATGCGGTCACCAAAATTCAACTCTGTCCTAAGTCAATCAGGATGCGGAGGACTACACGGCCATGACGATGGGCGCTCCGCACATCAGCGTCAGCCCAGCATGTGACACGGAGATAAAGATCTATTATTACGTCAGCAAGATGATCTCAAATATGAGCATGCACGTACATGCTTATGTGTGCTTCTGTTGCTCACAAGCAAGCAGATTAAAAGAGCATGCACCGGTCATGGAGACATGCAAGCACTCGGCAAAGAACGACGGTGACGAGTACTCTGGCTGGCAGCAAGGACGGCTGCTCTTACCGCTCCTATGCCTTTGCTAATCGCGAGCCGTTAAGCAAGCCGCCAGCGAGCTGTCCGAGCCGGAAGCGAGCCGTCTCCGTCCCGAGCGAGCCGAGCAGCAAAGATATCCGAACTGCAAGCCAATAGCAATTTCAAGGAGTAAGCCGTACATGCTAAGAAGCCGTGCAAGCTAGCAGGATTTGCATGTATTCATGCATGTATAATGGCTCCTACAGGCAAGCTGTTTCAATCCAAGCCCCGACGGCCACTCTGAACGACTGAACCTCCAGGACGGAGGGCACAACACTAGACATCGAGAGGTCTTGCGACGAGCTCGCGATGATACTCTGCGAATCATGGTGCTCCACCGGCCAAGAAGCAACATAGAGCCCGTACACGTACAGGCTAATTATATGGATATTCATGATACTTCAGCTTGCATGCATATACGGAGTACACATCCAGCCCTCAAGTAAGCCGGTCGAGCCGTCAATCAGCAACACGAAGGAAGGCGTACAGCAACATGCAAAACTTCATTATCAGATCCACACAAGCTACATGCACGTATTCATCACTTCATTCAACATGCAAGATGACGACAAGCTAGCAAGCTATTGGGAGGCTTAAATCGTACATACATACATGCTCTTACTACATGCGTACATGTATATGCTCATCCATCTACTCGGATACCACGCCACTAAGCTCGGAGGCTCGGCCATTGTCACAGTTTACTCGGCTTCACTCCAATTACGCTCGGGGGCTCGGATCAAGGAAGGAAGGCCAAGTTTACAAGATCCCAACCACTCGGCGACAAGCGATCATTGATCATTGTCTTCGGGGGTTTACTCGGCTACACCCTTGAGGACGTCTACAAGATCGACTACCGAGTAGTCGGATTGTAGGCTCGGGGGCTGCGGGATACATATCCTCAGATGATGCATTCAAATTTCTTTGACAAGGAATTACATACAAGACCCTCCAACTCTTGTTCCAAACAGTAAGAGGCTCGGGGGGCTACACTCAGTGAGTGCACTTTTTCGAAAAGTCCACACCACTCGAAGATCTCAAGAGCACTTCATGGTTTCTCTCAAGAAAGCACTCGGACAAAGTTTGTTTCTACTCGGCAAGACCTGAAGGAACAAGAAGGCTTCCAAGATAAACCATACAGTGATCGGGGGCTTGTGGGACATAGTCCCCGGGTACCCCACAAGGAAGGAAGAAGATCTAGTCCGACTAGAAATTTCCCATATGTAATTCTAGTAACATTGCCACCCTGTAATTCTACTATGACTCTTACATTGTAACCGACTAGGAGACCTGCCTCCTGAAATATATAAAGGAGGGCAAGACTCCCTAAATCGGTAGGCCATGACATACAATCATACCAATCAATCCAACGTAAAAGGCTATTACTCGATCACGAGGGCTCGAACCAGTATAAATCGTTTATCTCTTTGCGTTCAACGTCGAGTTCCGTGTACGTCGAAGCCCACCAACAATAGTCCCGGGTAACCCCGTGACGAGTTACCAGTCATCAAACAACGACAAGGTCTCGTGCCAGAGTTGCTCTTAGGATACGTAGGTTGGGTAAGGATCAAGGCTATTGGTCGTGTGGCACCTTGATTGTGCTCTTCTTCCCCAAACACGACAAACAGTGCAGAGTAGTCAAAGTGATTCCAGGAATGAAATGTTAAGGAGCAAAAAAAGCTTGAGTTGTACACATGACATGAATTATGCAATGCTTGAATAAACGTTGTGCAACAAATGAATTTGAATATAATAACTAGAGAAATTGTCCTAAAAACTTTGTCTATTATAAGAAGTATAAATTAATAACCTACAGCGGAGTGACATCAAATGCTTTGCTATATTAAGGACAAGTTTGGCATACCTTCACCCCTACATCCAAGCATGATTTCATGTTAATCAGATAGAATAAAGTATGTGTTTAATCAAAATTAGTAGAAATGCTTAACTAAACATATCTTCCGTGTGTCACAACCCACAGCTCCTGCTCCAACCTCTAGAATCTATAGGCCTTTGCTAGATTGATTGATGGAAAAATAACTCAAGCTGAAATGAATTTCCTTTTTCAATTCATATCTAATCGCTTCCTTTTCATATCCAGTGGACACTCTACTTCCTGAACAAGTCTAGTTGACATTACCAAATACCAATATGACATTACAACATGGTTCATGAAAGTTTAATTGTCCAAAATACCAAATTAGTAGCAAATTATAACTAATAAGTAGGAAATATATAACTAATTAAATTGTCACTGTTGAAATAGCGCCGCTATTTAAAACGCTAAGCTATGCAACTTAGCGGCGCTATAACGCGTAATAGCGGTGAAAGTTGTCATAGCGGCAGAAATACGAATAGCTTAGTGTCAAGCCTCTCCCACTGCTATAGCCCGCTATTTTTCCATGCTCTCTATGTTGTCACCATCAACACATAGAGAATAGACTGAGGAACCAGTCGAGGATGATCGGTGCAATTTGTTTTCTTTTAGGGCCTATCTGGTATGAGTCTACCTCCGACTCCAACAACTGTGGAGGAGCCATAAAACGCTTTAGGAGTCATTTTTTGTTGAACAGTAGAGAAGCCGGAACTATTTTTCGGTCCGGAGGAGTTGCAATTTGTGGCGACTCCACAAGTGCTCAGACTTCTCCTGAAGAGCACTTGAGGGAAAACAATGCCAAACAAGTTCATATTGTTGTTGTGTTGTAGGACCCACTTAGGGGAAACCGTAGGTCCGTGGATGATATGGCATTCTATGAAAAAGTTAGCTCCATGCCCTTAGGATACGAGGTTGCATTTGGTGAGGGTAGGGATTTATTAGTTGACAGTTGTGTGGCACCTTCAATTCGAGGAATGAAATGCTTAAGGAGCAAGAAGCTAGCTTGAGCTGGACACAGGACATATGGATTATGCAGTGCTTCAATAAAAACATTGTGCAATAAGTGGATTTAAATATACTCCAATAACTAGAAAAATTGTCTTCAAAGTTTTTGTTAATATAAAAATATTAATTAATAACCTACAGTATAGTGACATCAAATGCTTGCTATATTGAGGCCGAGTTAATTTGGCATTCCTCCACCCAAAAGTCCATGCATGATTTGATGTTAATCAGATAGAATAAAGTAAGTGTTTAATCAAATTTAATCAAAATTGCTTAATAAATATCTTCAGTGTGCCATAGCTCCAAGAAATTTTGGATCTAGACCAGCTCTAGTATCCTTAGGCTTTGTTAGATTGATGGAAAAACAACTTAATAAGGGCCCTTTTGGCACAACTCTAGCTCTGAAATCTATGCTGGACTTGTAGATTAAACTAAAGTAGTTTATATATTTTTATAATATAAAATATAAACGAAATGAGTCATATGAATGCACTTAACATACATGTAGCTTTAGATCCACGATTTCCTAGAGCTACAGGTTACAAGCTCTAAAAGAAATCCACAGATTACCTAACTTTGCCAAACAGAGCCTAAGATGATTTAATTCTATAGCTCCTGGAAGCTGGAATACGTTCAGTGTTGGAAATACTAAGCTGTCACGAATTTTCTTTTCATATATAATCGCTTCCTTTTCATATCCGGCGGAGTCTGCTTGCTGAACACTTGAGAGCCGCTTCTTCAGATCTCCACAGTGATGAAATGTTGATTGATCATCTCCTCGTCCCCATCGAATGTCTTCAAAAACTCCATCTCGTCCAAGCTGCTCATCGACGATTCGCCACGGCAACCTGCACGAATGCATGGAGAGCCAACGCATTAGACGATAGACTTTGCCACTGCATCAGGGTTCCATTGCATGGGATGCCGGGTGGCTAGCAGAGACAACCTACCGTGGCCGTGATGCGGTTGCGGTGACTCCTCGCCGTGCGCGACGGCGCACGCGGCGAGCAAACTGTCCCGGCTTGGCGAGGCCGGGCACGGGCACGGCGACTCCTTAAATCGCTTCGCCATCGTCTGCATCCCAAGGGGCCATCCGGCGGCCCGGCGAGGACGCGGCGGTGACGGCCGTGGGTCACTGCGCTCGTTGCAGTGCTGCTCGGCGGCGGTCGCGATGATCTCCTCCTGTCTGTCGTGGAGCCACTCGTCAAGGCTAGGCGAGGGAGGAGGCGGCGGGGGGGACGGCGACCGCGACCGCGACTTGCCGCGCCGGAGCGTGTCCTTGCAGTACGAGATGGCGCGGGCCACGGACTCGGCCCTCTCGCGGGCCGTGTCATCAACGGCGGCCATGGATGACGGCGCCCCCTTACCGTCGCTCCTGGCCTTCCTCAGCCTCCTCGAAATCTTGCGCAGGTACCTCCCGACCACGTCTCCCTTGACCTTGGGCGCCATGGTCACCGCATCCTCCTGCTCCTGCGGCTGCTTCGCGGGCGCTCGCGCGCGGGAGCCCCGCAGCAGCAGCCTCCTCCCGACGCCGACGCCGCCGCTGGCGCCGAAGCACAGCGGCGTCGTGGAGGGGCTCTCCTGCCGGGACCGGGACTTAAAGAAGCCACGGTGGCCGTCGCTCGACGACGTCGAGGACGGGGAGGAGAGGGAGGAGCCCGATCCGGCGGCATTGGCGCTGAACGACGGCGACGACGACGCGCGGTCGAGCTCAGAGGAGTCGGCGTTGGCCATTTCCACTGCAAAGCACTGGGCGCCGGGGAACAGCCACGCCGCGAGGAACTGGATCAGCTGCATGGCGGCCGGCGAATGCTAGGCACGACGGAGTTTTGGGTTTTAGTTTAGCGTGGCGCGGCGGCATCTCTTATATATACAGGCAGTGATCGATCACGGCGGCGTCCCCTCCGAGATGCCTGCTTGCCTACCTAAAAAAACAAGCATCTGGTGATCTGGAACTGGAAGGCTCCTTCGAGTCCTTCCAAATCCATGGCAGCGGTTGCCTTCTTCTGTTACTATCTTCCATATCGGCGTGGTTAAATTACTCGCTCACTGTTGGATCATTATTAGGGTGCATTGGAAGTTAATTAAAAGAAGTTTTGCCAATGCATGGCTGTATAGTGGCCTTCCTATGACTATCTTCCATAATCGCAGGTGGCAGGCGTAGTCGGTGCAGAGATTGATGCCATGAAGTCTGTTCGCTCTTAAATTTTCAGTCGGAAGAGTGTTTTTCTCTCACACCAAACAGCCAGCAGTAAATAATTCATGATCGTTACGGCCTCCCAAACGGGCTGGCCCCATGGGCGGCACGAGGTACGATCCTATTTGACACGGCTTGGTATCATTGTTAACGAGTTCGGCCCAAGCATAGTGCTGTGCTGGGCCGCTCACTCGGCCTATATTGTCTGCATGTGTGAATAAAGCATTGGAAAACTAGGACGACGGCGATGTCTTTGGTCACTTGGCCTGGCCATCCATATGAGCACGTGCGAGGACTCCATGCGCACATGCACCACAGTTCGCACGCCGCCATGCATCTCACGTGCATTATATATGTCCACGGCCAGGGTACCACGCACCATCACAGTCACAGGGTTTCTTTTCCAAAATCTTTATTTACCATATATATAATCACACGTCACTTCCTGTACGATGCAAGCACACGCACCGCGCACATCACAGTCCGTGGTGACGTGTTCTCTAAATCTAAACAGCTAGGTATGTTTATATCGTTCATCACGTAAGTCATTATAGTAAGCATCCCCCGATCAAACTAGCGACCGAGTCACCGATAAACTCGTGTATAGATAATTCTCTTGTGCAGTGTTCTTTGTCCTGAGTATCCTGTTGACTAATAAGATCTCAGTTCCCCAATAACTCAAATCTAACTAGTCTTTTTGCGCGCGCCCATGCGCGCGGGGGCATTGGCTGGTAGTGCCTACGATCACTGAATCAGAACGGACCTAAGAACAAATGTGATCATAACGTTGTAGTAATAGACTGAAAGATATCTAGCCATCAGTTACTCGACACGAGAGATTAGTTCGTCCTACATAGGATGTGCCAATAATACATACAGATAGGACGCAATCCTCAGGTGGATAAGCATCCAGATTGTACACGATGCTACATAAAAGAGTTTATGGCCATGATAACTTTTGCAGTTTTATTTGTCAAATGGAACCTTGAGATAGATAATGACAGAACACATGTGATCAATAGAGTAAGGAATATAAGGTTGGTCCTCAAATCAAAAACTCTAAACTGGATGCATAGATATTGAATATTATTGCAAATATCTTACATGTCATAATACACATGAATAATACAGGTTTCAGCATAGCTGACATGAATAATAGCTAGGCCGAGATGGTGGAACATATAGCATATTATACATAGCCAAAGCCGAGTTTATGTGATATGTTCAAATATTACATATATTTTACATGAGCAATAAAGCACATGAGAAGTTTTCAGTCCACGAGACATAGCGTCTAAGACGGCAGAACATACCATATTACAGATAGATAAATCACAATACTTAGCACATGTCATAGGAGCACAGGGTTAGCTAAGTAGCTTCTGCCCATGAGCTTCTCCTGATTAACCTTAATGAAAATAGTTTTGTAATATCCAGTGGAAACGTGCCAGAAGCTGTGCCTGCAACATGTTTTCTGTTGCCTGCATTGTTCCTGACCTCCAAACTATGACCTGTAAATAGTACATCAACAATGACATATAAGTAATATAGAGGTTGCTGAACCACTCTATGTAAGGGACAATATAATTCTTCTACTGTTGACATATGCATGAGCAGAGGCAGTGTAGAGCACGCCTCACACAATGAGCATTCTGCAACCCAAGTGTTACATGGCTGTCAACTAACTGGGAGTACCTACTTGACAGTTATTAACAGTAAGCTATAAAATATATATACCCATGCAGTAAAACAGCCCACATGACTTGCTGCCTGTGAAGGCAATGCAATGGTTGACAGCCGAAGTAGCATTTTAACATAATTTGATGTTGTTGGAGCCTTTGGTACAGGCATAGATTTAGGAAAGAAGGGGATAAATGACATGGTACACAATTTTTCATGCATCTTTTTGAAGAAAATATTGATTGATAAAATTCTAGATAATTTTGGTGACTCCCAGTCATACACGGTACAGGGTTTTGCTGATACATCAGCTAGAGAAAGGCCTCCTGCAAGTAGAGAATCAACTTGGGACAAACTATTTTCATCTTTTACTACCTGCGCAAAATCAGTCACACGCATCTGTTAAAAGACGCCTCCATTTTTCCCGTTCAAATGATGATGACTCTGAACCATGATTCATTAAGTAGCCACTATCAAGTTCAATCCTACCATTGTTTTAAAATTAATATAAGGATGTGCACTCTTTTATGTGCATATACAGATTATCCAGTGCCAAAAATTACATAGTTCATCATATATTCAGAAAGTTCTTTTATAGACTGGCTACCCAAGTACCCATTTGCTTCTTTTATGATAATCACCAGACGACTGGACTGTAGTTGACAACAAAAAAGGACTGCCAGGAACATCATTTGTGTTTTAATTCTAGGCCTTCCCAAATACCAGGCAACATAAATCACAGATACCAATGTCAAATTCAGTTTCATACTGGAAGGCAAAACCAAACTTATATATGATTTTACATCCAAAAAAAGAATCCATCCATTCCCGCCTTGGCATCATATTGGCAAAGAGACAGAGAACACATACTTGGCCCAGAGCTTGCATGCAAATCACTTTCAGGACTGCTTCAGGAAGACCTTTCCTACACGAAATGGCAGTTAATAACTATCTCCTGCACTAATTACAAAACTATAAGCCTTCTTGCAATGGAATAAAGAAATATAAATATCTATCTTTGCATCAAGTATAAAGACATATATTATCCATATATTTGGGTTGGAGATGTTTTCTCATGGTTATGAATAGCATTTAGCACGACTATTTCATAGCAGCTTAGTCTCTGTTTGTAGACAATTGCTACTTTACACATAATTAAAATTAAAATTGGTGCAACAACATAGCATTGTAGCAATCAAAATTCTTGAAAAAGCTATACATTTACCCGGTGCTAGAGTTCATATATTAGCTAAAAGCGAAGTCATATACCAAACAAAAAGTTATAATCACTTTGTGATACCATACAATAGGAATCAAAGAAGCCAATACAAAGATATAGTTCAGAAATTAAAGATAGTAAACCAAAATACCCTGATTTTGAGGTGGCTCCATGTAATGATTACCTTGCTAGCAAGCCATGCTCAAGTAGACAAGTACAATTGCTGTTCTTCAGAACGCTCCAGTGCAGGGAACCGCTTACTCGCATTGCTAGCTAGTCACCTACTACTGCGATCGAAGGTTGCAAAATCAGCGACTTGTCATGCCATTTGCCTGAACATAAATGCAGGTTGTAAAGAGTAACTTTTTCCTGATTTGAAATACCAATGCTACCATGCTAGACGGATGTAATACTACATGTCCAAAAGCATCCCAGTGATCTTATTTCCATAGCAAAATATAGATGACTTCAAAAGTATTTTTCTTTCCTAAATGAATCACCTGTGATATTGTGTTTGGTTAGATTGAGATAAATAGAGGTAGAGAACTAAACTTGATTGCTTCATGGATTTGATGAAGCTTCAAGTCGTGGTTCTCTGTGCCTCAACCGCAACATCCATGTAAACTTTAATTGGACAGCCAATGTCCAAGCCACCGCCTCGACCTCTGCTGACTATGACACAATCTCACCTAGCCGCTCGCCAACCTGCCTAGCGACACACCTGAATCAAAGATCAGAATCACCAAACTTGCTTGGATTGGATTAATATCACAGTGCACTCAAGACAACTTTTGGTACAAGCAACATAGGTGAGATCAACATCTCATCTATTCATTTATAGAGACATGATTATTGTCCAAAAACCATTACAGCCAAGCATCCCGTAATAATATGCAAGTTCAAGACATCATATTTGTATAATGGAATATTGAAATATTTTCATTTGTAAAATGGTAGTCTAGGGGTGTAACATGACACAGCTAGCATGAATTTAACAACATAATAAATTTAGCATTTTTATCCAACTATTCACAGTTTCTTCAGAACACTTTATTAGCATGATTAAAAGCTGCCTTTTCAGAACATTAACTCTCTGATGGCATTTCAAATGCTTCATAATTCAGAAAATGTTAACTTTGAGCTAGAAACCTAGAAGCAAAATAAATAAAGGATCGAGAGCAAAGTTGAAAGATCATATACGAGAGGATGCATACACAGCAACACCTTTTTAATTACTCTACAATTCTATATGGACACCTTGACAAAATTAATAACAGAAAAGCAACATCAAAATGCAATTACTGGGAAACCCTAAACCCCTGAAGGAAACCGTCACATTGCAGGCCTAGTACAGAACACAAAGCAATAATTAGACTCGGCTCCGAGATTCACAAAAAAAATTAATAAGAATCAAATACGTACAGGTTGTGCGCTTATAAAGCTTGGGTCCTTGCTATGTGTTAAGGATGAATCCCCAGCGGACCGTGACGGATGGTTGTTGGGTCTTCCGCGGCCGCACTGAGGAGCCACGCCAGACCGGGCCGCCGCACCAGAGGGGCAGCCGCAGCGAGGGCCTTCCTCGCCGGGGCTGCCGTGCTGTACATAGCCAGATTCGGAATCAAGAAATCTCAAAGCAAAAGCACTAGATCCATGAATATCCGGCCCAAAATCACCAGAGGAAGAAGAAAAACTCATACTGGGGGCCCAAGGCGCCACCATGCCATGCCAGCCGGGAGCGCCTCGCCCTCACACCACGCGCCCGGAGCTCCGAGGAGGGGGGATCGGGAGGAGCGGGCGTGCTCGCCTAGGCTCAAGGCGTCCGCCGCCGAGGCGTGCTTTCATGGCTGTGGCCGCCCCATCCATGTGAGCTGCCGCCCAGCCACTGGGGTTGCGGCCACCTGGGGCGGCCTTGCCGGGGCGCCGTGCCCGGCCTCGCCTGGAAGCCGCGCCGCCACCGCAGGAAAGGAGGGAGAGGGAGGAGGCGCGGATGCGGACGCGAGAGAGAGCCGGCCTCGCCTGGAAGCCGCGCCGCCACCGCGAGAAAGGAGGGAGAGGGAGGAGGCACGGATGCGGACGCGAGAGAGAGCTAGGGTTTGGACCCAGTATATATTTGGCTGCGGAGTGGCTCGGGAGGAGACAGGAGCACCGTTCATCAGGAATCCGAGGAGTGAAAATAATTTTGCTACCGTGGACACCGTGTGCGCCCGTCTTGGCCACACGCTCTATTCTCTTTAAATTTGAACCCATCACCGACCATGTTCTGCCTTAAGTAATAACGGTATATATGAACAACCAACGAACCAACCATATAATAAGTTGATTCAAAATAAGTCCATGCAACCCACTCAACATGAGCACATTACTTTAAGAGAGAATTACTTGTATGGCCTTTAAAAACTTTGGCTTCCTTGTATGGACCTTTTTTTTCTGAAGTTACCTATAAGACCCGAAAACGAATTTGCCTTACTTGTATGGTCTTCCGTCCATTTCAGCCATAGCGAAAAAAGATTCAAGTGTAGAGTTTAGTTTGTCTGTTTTAGATTTGGAGTAATATTACGCATGGTTTAAAGTGTTTAGAATTGTATAAATTTAGAATTGCATAAAATTAAAATATATTACTTTTGGAAAAAATTACGCAATTATAAACAATTTAAACCATGCGTAATATTACTCGAAATCTAAAAGAGGCAAACTAAACTCTGCGGCACTTTAATCTTTTTTCGTCTTACCCCTCACTTAACACCGTTAAGTGATTAAAATGAACGGAGGGCCATTAAGGTAAGGCAAATTTATTTTCAGGCTTATAGGTAAAAAAAAAGGGCATACAAGGAAGCCGTAGTTTTTAGGAGGCTATATAGGAATTCTCTCTTACTTTAATGTACTCTCTTTATTATTTAAAATTGTTAGTTGTTTTGCCTTTTCTAGATTATAGATTTTACTATACAGCTAGATATCAACGTACATAGTAAAGATTCCAAATTTATAGAGAGAACAAAACACTTACAATTTAGAAGGTAGAAAGTAACTATTGAAAAGTAACACATTTATACAACACTTGCATATCAACAGATATCAATGCATTAATTACTTTGTAACACTATTTTTTTTTTGCGATGGCAATTTTATTACAAAATTATTTTTTCATCACATGGTTTCCGTAAAAAGACCAGCTTGTGCAGATTTATTAGATTGATGAATTGTGTCGCTCTCATGTCCTCTGGTGGAGCCACGCCATAGCATCCGCGAAGCACTGCCTGTACCTCTCCATGGCAGCCGGCTGCAGAGAGATCCCCACCTCTATCCCGCCGTCGCCACCCCGGCTCTCCGCCACCGCCATTGCGCCGGTCCTCGCCACGGACACGACGTCCACCTTCGCCGGCCGGCCGAATCCGAAGTCCAGGTCGTAGACGCGGAACCTCGGCGAGCCGGCCACGGTCAGTAAACCCATCGGGAGTACCTCCCTGATGCGGTCCATCCACGCCGCCATGCTTGACGTCCCGATGTCGCGTACAGCTTCGTCGATGGAGGAGGCGACGGCGGCGCACGCGCTGAAGAGCCCGCCAGCGCCGGCCACGGCCACCTCGCCCGTTGGTGCCAGCGCGAACGCTGGGCCGACGCAGTTGCCGAAGTACTTGTCCGGCAGGGGAGGCTTCATCCGCGAGCGGTGGTCGACGGGGAAGCCCATGCAGGTCACCGGGCCCTCTCTGGCGCCGGCGCCGCTGCCCTCCTTGGCTCGCTGGTAGCACGACCAGACGAGGCCGAAGGTGGCAACCAGAGAGGAGCACCGGGGCGGCGCGACGCCGCGCCTCGCGGCCTCGTCGGCCACGACGTCTTTGATGTGCTTCAGGTCGTCCTTGGACAGCGCGAACGTGGCGAAGAGCTGGTCGGCGGACATCTCGGCCATCTCATACTCTTCCGTGCTCGGCGCCGTTTGGACGAAGATGTCGTACAGGCGCCTTGGGTCGGCGAGGAGAGTCCGGTCGATCACAGGAGGCAGCGGCGGCGGTTCGGCGCCGCCTCTGCAGGCGGCCGCCCAGGTGTGCAGGAAGTGCGTGGAGCCCGAGCCGTCGCAGGCGGCGTGGTGCACGGTGACGCCGATGGCGAGGCCGCGGCGGGCGGGAAGGAGCGTGGCCTGAACGGCGAACAGCCCGCCGCCCTCCGGCAGCGGCGGCACGAGCGTGGCGATCTTGGCAACCTCCCGGGGCTCGTCGGTGGCGAGGCCGTCGAAGTGCGCGTCCGCGTCGTCGTCGTCGCACTCGGCGACCGTGAAGGTGACGGCGTCACCCGGGCGGTAGTGCAGCTCGTAGTGGTCGGACGTACCGGGGGTGAGGCGGACGCGGCCGGCGAGCGGGTAGAATGCGCGGACGGCCTGGTGCAAGGAGTCCCGGAGGTTGGAAATGATGGCGGCGACGTCAGCGTCGGGGCCGAGGCGGTAGAGGAAGAGGCGCTCGACGGGCGTGGAGTGCAGCCAGAAGACGTCGAAGAAGGTGAGCGGGAGCGAGGTCTCCGGCGGTGACGGAGACGGCGGCACGAGGGTGGTGTCGTGGAGGCGAGGAGACGGCGAGGAAGACCCTCCCCCTGCAGGTGGCTGCTGCTGGTCAGGCGCCACGGCCATGGCGGCCGCCAATTCGAGCTTGCGGCAGCCGGCAGGCACTGGATGAGAATTGGACTGACGCAGATCAGCAGATGCCAGATGGAAGGCCATGCCACTATGCGAGGTAGATATAGGGGTCACCGGGTTAGTGGTTGCTTTGCTTGGCTGCTGAAAATTTGCCTCCTCCTGTCTCCCTGGCTTGTTCCTGTGAGCTTCGTCTGCGTCATCCATGACCACAAAGCATCACCGAGCTCAATTCCTTTTCTTTTTTTCTTTAAAAGAAGTCAAAAGAGAGGAAATGAGAAACTAGCACACATCTTTCTGTTCCATCTGTTTTATAATTTCTTTTCTTTTGCTGCACCACTTTTAAGGAGTATTTATTGATAGTTATTCTATCAGAAGAGATTATTTTCAACAAGTGAATAGATTTTCTTCTTCTAATATAAATTGCGGCAAATCTTTTACCGTCCTTTCTAAAAAAATAGATTTTCTAGTATAATACACCTCCGGTTCCAAACTATAAGACATTTTGACTTTCCTAAGTACATTAACTACTTTACTATATATCTAGCAAAATTTATCTTAAAAAAATCAGAACATCTTATAATTTAGAAAAAGAGAAATATTTACTACTCTTTTTGTCCCTAAATAAATTAATTCCTACAGTTATCTGAAGTCAAACTTTTTTATGTCTGATCACCTAATTAGATCATTAGATACATCATAAACATATTTTCATAATACATTTATTTGGTATCACAAATATCTGTATTTTTCCTATGAATACAGTCAAATTGATTTATTTAGATACGAAGGGAGTATTTTCTTCTGTTCACAAATAAAGTCTATCTGACTTGTTCGAAGCCAGAACTGTTTTACTTTATTTATATAAAAAAAGAGGCGTGCTAGTCAAAGTAAAAAAATATGACTGAAGGTTACACCTTTGGAGCGAAGTCACGTACATGTCTCATCGATGAAGCCGATCGGTGAAAAGAAATCTGGTAGCTTCGTTGAGATTCGTCGCTATGGAAACGGCCCTGAAGGGGAAAAACACAAGAACAAACACCTTTCACTTCGATGGAATGTTAGAACCTAAGAATACAGCTAGAGTCATCTAACCAATTCAACAACCCGTTTGTGTAAGATGTACACAAAGTCATTGTAGTAATTGTAATAGCCTCCGAGCTTAAGGTCTACACACTCGTGCTACTTGTTATGAAACAATCTTTTTTAATACAATGATACTATTCATCTTGTATCGAGAAAAAAAAGTAAGTATAGAGTCTCCATACTTAGATTCATAGGTCCAGCACGAACAGCGCTAATTCGCGTAGTAAATAACATTTTGCTTACCTCCGCTAGATCTTCACATTTCTCTAGCCTAGAGGTGTCACTTAGGTCATTGAATTTAAGAAATGTATTTTTTAATTGTTAAACTTTGGAACAGTATTTTTTCGGAAGTGCTAGCGTGCGCGGACGATTGGACGGACGCCCGCACACTACACTCCATTCGCGCACCATGCGAGGCCCGCGCTGCCCGAGCGACGAGAGGGGAAGGGCGTGGCGGCGCCTCCGATTCAAAGGACCCGACCGCGGCGTCGTATGGATACCCTAGCGGCGCCGGGAGAGATGATGCAGCAGAAGGTGGGGAGGAGAGATGTAACACCAGATCTACTTTTGAAACATTCAAATACAACGTTGCAACATACGTCTGAATGCAGTTGGACATTTGAAACATGCTTCTGAAACACCTAAAAACACTTGAAAACCATTGCAACCATACGCAAACGTCGAAATAAAACACATGCAACGTATGTATGTGTCAAACATATGCAATATCCAGATAAACACCCTTGCAACATGTGTCCCAAAAACACAGATGAAACATACATGTGAAACATCTGAAACACTTGATTGCAACATGCCTCTGAAACAATTGCGACATAAGCAATATCCCCCGATCTACTTTTGTAACATCCATATGAAACAAACGCAACATACATCTGAAACGCCTAAGACACTTGAAACATACATATGCAACATATGGGAGGGGAAGGCTGGCCAGTCGATTCCGGCCACCGGGGTGGGGGAGCTCAGTCACCAGGGTGAGAGAGGGCGCCGCCAGGGGTGGGGAGGGCGCCGCACCAGGGTGGGGCAAAGCCGCCCACTCCCCTACAACACTGTCGCGCCACCTCCATGGATCTCGCCGGGATGGGGGAGGGGGCCATCGGATCCGCGGGCGTTGGGCGCTCTCAGTGGGTGAGGACACCAGGGTGGGGGGAGGGGCACCGCAAGGGTGGGGGAGGGGGACGCTGGGGTGTGGGAGCGCACCGCCGCCAGCCAGGGAGGCAGCCATAGCCGCGCATCGGGGTAGGCGCGGGGCGCAAGCGCGGAAGAGAGCAGGAAGCGAGGGATTGGGTGCGGGAGCGAGTGGAGTGAAGCGTCTGGAGCATTACCGATTTTTTAATCTAAACTTGTTAAGTGATAGATCGTACTCCCTCCATACTGCTAAAGGAGGTCGTTCTGGGCTCAGTTTGAAATCAAGCAAAAGAAGTCATTTTGGCTTCGAGGGAGAAAAGTGGACGTCGGTACCCCTCTGCTTTGGCTCCCGTGTCCACGTTAATAGCGCATGCGCCGCTGCATGCCGCTATTCCAGGAACCTTGACTCAGCGCCTATTGCTTCGCCTCCTGCATGCTGCTATTAATCGCGCACGCCGCCGCCGCATGCCGCGATTCCAGCTCACGGTCGCTCCTCGCAGCTCGCCCCTCGCCGCTAGCTCTTCTTCTCCACGCCGCACACCAGCTCACCCTCGCTCCACGCCGCACACGGCTCGCCCTCGCCCTAGCAGTTCCATGGATGCGACGGACTCGACGTCGGATCAGTTCGCCCCGGACTCCGTGGCCGCGGACTCGGAGATGATGGAGGAGGTTGCGGACTCCATGGCCGCGGACTCGGAGGAGATCGTTCCTGAGTCGGAGCAGTTCGTCGTGCCGGAGTCCCAGCAGTTCGTCGCGCCGGAGTCGCAGCAGTTCATCTCGCCGGAGTCGGAGGAGATGATCGTCGCGCCGGAGTCCCAGCAGTTCGTCGCACCGGAGTCGCAGCAGTTCATCTCGCCAGAGTCGGAGGAGATCGTCTCACCGGAGTCGGAGGAGATCGTGGTGCCGGATTCTTCGCCGCCGGGAGCTTTTATTTGCGGCACCTGTCAAGTCGTTCATCTTAACCGCGAAGCATGGGATCGTGTGCACACTGGGCGCTATCCATGCTCTCGCTGCGGTCTCAAGCACGCAGACTACTTGTTCTTCGCTATTGTTCATGGCTTCGATTATTTCGAGTGCGAGTTTTTCATTCCAGATGTCAAGAATGTCGTGTTCGGAGTCGGCATGGAGCAAATTGTCTTTGCTGCAGGCGTGCTCAAGAAGGTCGAAGAGGAGGCTAAGGAGAGGCGCAAGCGTAAGCTCATTGCCAAGAAGGCTATGGAGGACGCCAAAGCCGCCACAGTGTAAGAGATCATTAAAATTGAGTTCATTACAGCAACAGTTCATTAAGATCATTACAGCAAGAGTAACCATCAATCTACTTCTTTCATGCAGCAAGACTATCCTCGGCTTCAACTAGGAAAGATGGATCACAAGGAATACAAGATGGCAGCAAACCTTGTCTTTCCAATGCTCCTTTTTTCATGTGAGGTATCTTAAAGTTGTTGCAACCTTTCTTCTTCATAGCTTCCATCAAAACACCTTGTAGTGTTAGAAACATTCGGTTTGCAAGGTGTGGTGAGTACTCCATGAATGCCTACAATTGTAATGCAAGTTTAATTCGGTTAGCAAATTGTTGTGGGATAAATTGTAATGCAAGTTTAATTCGGTTGTGAACAATTGTTGAGCAAATTACCTCTTGCACGGCTGGAATGAGAGCCTCCATTGTCTTTGCATTCTTTTGATATTGAATTGCTTGTATAGCTCGAAAAAACCCAAGTCAAGAATGTTGAAATCTGGAGAGTTTGGTGGCTGACATATTAAGCGAATATCAAATCCTCCTAGCTTAGCTGCCTCACAAAATTCTGGGTCATCCAATTTCAAGTGGGAAGGTGCATTGTCTTGTTGAATGAATATTGGTCTACCCACATCTTCTCTTGGCCACTTAGCTCTAATGGCGGGCAACACTTGTTGATCATAAAACCTCTAATGGCATGCATGGTCCAATATTTATTCACGGCATGTTGTATTTTTAAGATAAAAAGAAACACATTCATGAACTGCTTGCACGTTGCGGTAATGCATTCACGGCATATTGTAATTATAGGAAGAAAAACAAACATTGTGACGAAAAGAAGTTACCAGCTTGATTTTGTATGTAGTCGAAATCAACAAAGACCGAACTCATCTAATGGTAAGTTCAAATCAAGTCTTTAAAAAAAAATGAAACAAATGATGAGAACCAAAAATAATCTGAACAATGGAAGGATACAACTAAGTGATGCATTACCTCTGTGGTGATCTTCTGCTCGCCGAGATTTAAAAGCGTCGTTAGGCGTCATCATCTTGGGATGCCAACAAGTTGAGATCGAACCTAAGAATATAATCCGACATTTGTAGCTGAACTAGCTAGCAGCATAAACAGGAACACAAGGAGACGAACAGAATGCTCGTTTGGAGAAAAAAGACTATTTATAGAGTGGCAAAGGCTAGCAGCACCAGCGCTTGATCGATGAAAATTGAAATAAAAAAGCGGCAGCGATCGGTAGCGCAAGGCAGCAGCAGCAGAAAAAAACGGAAAAATTCGACCAAAACCGGCAGCAGTCAGCGCCGCAAGCATCAGCAGCAAAAACACGGCCAAAAATGCCACGGGTGGCCAAAAGCGCTGGCCGCGAACCCAGCCCTCCATGCTGCCATGCAAAATGAGCCAACAAAAATAGTCCACGGTTTGAGAGTCGAACCAACGATCTCTGCATCGGGACGCAGAGGCATAGCCGCTCGGGCTACTCATCACTTCTGTACAGGAGGCAACCGCACCGCTATTTAATAGGGGCAGACATGGAAAAATACCCCCTATTTAATCACTCTTTGGCACTCCTTGGTATGCGCAATCATGTCCTAAACGACTTCTAATACCAGTATGGAGAGAGTACATCCTTAAATTTATTAGATGATGATGCGCCGTAAGTCCATTTATGGACCATACTAGAGATCCCTAAATCATCATATATCATATCATATCATATAAGATCTAT